GGGGAGTTTGGAAAAAAAGTTTTCCCGAATCCGTTCGATACAGGGGGGTCATCCAAATCCTTTTACCCTGCAAAGAGAGCCATCCTCTTTGATTTTTTTTCTGTCATGTCCAAATCTGCATTGCAACTGGTGAAATCTTTAGCGATTTCTCTCATAAATACACGCTGAAAAATCCCGATTCTATTCGAACAGAGACTCTAACGCACGAAAGGCTTTTTTTCCTTTCCAGTGAATGCCATTTCCATACCTGAAAAGGAAAATAAATAAAATGTTAAACACAGAGATCTGAGATATTTTCTACACATAGAAACCGGTAAAATTTGAGATCACCTTAACGCGAATTTGTCATTTTATTATTTTACGAAATGAAACGCCCTGTATATTGTGATATCAATTATTAAGGAGTGAGCTTAAATATATTATTTCAGTAATCGCTGACTTGTCGGACAAGACGTTTTAAAGAGGCATCAGGTTGGGCTAAAGTGAAACTAAACTAATTTATTGAATGGAAAGAAGAATTCAGAAGAGATAATTTAATAAGTTTATAGGAAATGCGAGAGGAATGAAATTTTGTGAGATGCTATCAATAAGACAAGAAAATAAAAGAGATTTAAAAGTAGTGGTTAGGCAAAATATGTATGAGGAGATAAAGGAAGAGTTTTGTTTCATTTGTAATTAGGGGTTAGGAAGTTGAAGACGGGAAAGGGCAATTTAATTTAGGCTCGGTCGGGTAAAGTAGATCATGTCCAGTCTATGGTGTTCTGAGCAGCCTTCTGTAGAAGCACATTTCTATTGCGTCAAATCTCTTCTTCATCTGTGAGGAGATTGTCAAACATTCAATGCCATATAAAGAGGAACGATATTGCGTCAAATCTCTTCTTCATCTGTGAGAAGATAGTCAAACATTCAATGCCATATAAAGAGGAACGATATTGCGTCAAATCTCTTCTTCATCTGTGAGGAGATTATCAACCATTCAATGCCATATAAAGAGGACCGATATTGCGTCAAATCTCTTCTTCATCTGTGAGGAGATTATCAAACATTCAATGCCATATAAAGAGGACCGATATTGCGTCAAATCTCTTCTTCATCTGTGAGGAGATTATCAAACATTCAATGCCATATAAAGAGGACCGATATTGCGTCAAATCTCTTCTTCATCTGTGAGGAGATTATCAACCATTCAATGCCATATAAAGAGGACCGATATTGCGTCAAATCTCTTCTTCATCTGTGTGGAGATTGTCAACCATTCAATGCCATATAAAGAGGACCGATATTGCGTCAAATCTCTTCTTCATCTGTGAGGAGATTATCAACCATTCAATGCCATATAAAGAGGAACGATATTGCGTCAAATCTCTTCTTCATCCGTGAGGAGATTATCAAACATTCAATGCCATATAAAGAGGACCGATATTGCGTCAAATCTCTTCTTCATCTGTGAGGAGATTATCAACCATTCAATGCCATATAAAGAGGAACGATATTGCGTCAAATCTCTTCTTCATCTGTGAGGAGATTATCAACCATTCAATGCCATATAAAGAGGACCGATATTGCGTCAAATCTCTTCTTCATCTGTGAGGAGATTATCAAACATTCAATGCCATATAAAGAGGACCGATATTGCGTCAAATCTCTTCTTCATCTCTGAGGAGATTATCAAACATTCAATGCCATATAAAGAGGACCGATATTGCGTCAAATCTCTTCTTCATCTGTGAGGAGATTGTCAAACATTCAATGCCATATAAAGAGGACCGATATTGCGTCAAATCTCTTCTTCATCTGTGAGGAGATTGTCAAACATTCAATGCCATATAAAGAGGACCGATATTGCGTCAAATCTCTTCTTCATCTGTGAAGAGATTATCAACCATTCAATGCCATATAAAGAGGACCGATATTGCGTCAAATCTCTTCTTCATCTGTGAGGAGATTATCAAACATTCAATGCCATATAAAGAGGACCGATATTGCGTCAAATCTCTTCTTCATCTGTGAGGAGATTATCAACCATTCAATGCCATATAAAGAAGACCGCTATTACATAACCTTTTCGCACTCTTTTCTCTTTCTAATGAATTTCTCTGAGTTTGTTTTAATCCATTATCTGCCATTTTTTTTAATGCCCATTTTTGGCCCAGACGGGTGTCTTAGGAGTTTTTTTATTCCTTATGTTTAATTTCAGTAGTTATCATTGTCGCTCTTATAGAAACTAGAACATCATATATATATATATATATATATATATATATATATATATATATATATATATATATATATATATATATGTATATATATAATATCATTATTTTCTACTTGAGAAATGTAAAATTACGACAGACAGTGTCTTCTTACGGCTAATAATAAAAACTTTAAAGGCTAAGTGTTGTAAAGTATACCTCTGCAAATACAATGTATGTAAGCAATTCAATGTAAATGCAAGGAATAACATGTAGTGAGTTTAATTTTAACAAAACCCCAAATGGTGCTCATGGCAGGTTATGTGTTTAATAATTGGTGTTTCAATATCATATCAGTCATCTGTTAAAATATTTCCGTATATTATTATACAGTGTCACCCGGATATAAGAGAGTTGTCGGGACCGGAGAAGAAGTCTCTTATATCCGGGTTTCTCTTATATCCGGGTTTGGTCTAATTTATATACATTAACACAGGTTCTAATTTGGCACCAGAGAAAATCTCTCTTATATCCGGGTTTCTCTTATATCCGGGTCACTTATATCCGGGTTACAGTGTATGTATCAAAATACAGTAATGTTTTGTGTACGAAGCCAAAACAGAAGTTGAAGAGAATCTCGATTTCCGTGATATAAACCGGAAATGTCCAACTAAAGAAAGAACATATAAAATGGCCGGATTCAATTTAAAATATATATGAGGAGGCGAAAAATAATTATATCTTTCTTTTATTTACAGATACTCACGTTAGAGAGTTAACCAGTCCAGTGTTGTTTGGTTGGAACTCTTGAGTTCCACAGTAATCTTTCAGTGTTCTTCACCATTTCATTACACTAACACGAATAGATGATCTTTAAATTCTATTTGATCATGCCCTAGCCTTTGATCAGTTTAATGATCCATTCGCGAAATATGATGTGACAACTGAGAGAAGCAGTCGCAATTGTCTTCGGTTAGATACTGTTGTGGATTCCGAGATGAAATTCGGTCTCCAATGAATGACAAACGCAATAATTAAATATAAGAAATAAAATGTATTTACACAATAATACAAAGGGTAATACTGTTAGTAAATCCATGAACGAGGTTAGTAGCAAATACAGATAGATATATACAGTCTCGAAGTAGGACTTCCTTAGAGTCTACGTACTTGTAACTGACTTCTAGAAGAGGTTACCTCACTATCTCCGTTTGCATATTCTCTCACTATCCGTATATCCTCCCTCACTGACTGTCTAACTCTGGGTATTTAACGGCAGCACTCCAAGTAACACTGGTAGAGTCCACTTATATGAAAAGGAGAGGACCCCATAACAGATACAGAAAATTTCATTGAGGAATAAAAGATTGAAGTCAATAAATTGTAGAAAACAAGGAAATATGGTGGCTACTCTGTCTACATCTCTGAGATGAGGTATTATAATTACTTGCTTAAGGACACATGGACCAATGGATAAAGACGTTGATTAGTTCAAGTGACTAGACCCAAAGTGTTGTAAGTTCAATTCCAGGCAACAGCAGTGGTGAATCAAAACATGGAGATTTGAATTAAAGGGAAATAACTGAGACATTCGGAAGAGGTATGGCATTTGGAACCAGAACAATCGACCCGGAAGCAGGAAATAATGGGTTTGATTCGGAAATCCAATCACCTTAAAGAAGATCGTAGCCTACAATGGCTGAAATGTGAGTATAGCAATGAAGACAAGCAGTCAAAATTTCAATGGGGAATAAAGGATTGAAGTCAATAAATTGAAGAAAATGATGAAAGATAATAGCTACTTTTATTTCAGAAATACTTGGAAATGTCATTTATAATATTAATAGGAAAACCTAACATAGCGGAACTGGTTGGAGCAAAATTCTTCTCATTTTTCTTCTAGGTACTATGTCCGTTTCAGAAAACAGTTACCATCAGAGTTTTCCTACAAAGTTCAATACCCACTTGTTGAACGGTTAAGTCGTTAAATGAGGAGTATATATATTTCTTATAACTAGAACTTGTACCTATCTATATTTCTGAGATGAGGTATTATGTACATTGTTTATATTATTTACATCATTCGGATTATTGTCCTCATCTTTGTCGCCATATTTATTACAACGTTTCGGCCTTTCAGTATCTGTCTATATTTCTGAGATGAAGTATTATGTACATTATTTACATTATTCGGACTATTGTCCTCATTTTTGTTGACATAGTTATGACAACGTTTCGGCCGTTGTACGCTCCGGCCTTCTTCAGGTTGTTGGAATGTCAACTTTGATCCTCCAAACTTTAAATGCATTTTTAATCGCCATCTTCTGTCTTATTAATTCGAGTACTTTAATAGTTTTGTCTGCTCTCTTTTAGTTTTTTTTTCTCGTATTATTGCCCAATCATTAACTCCTTATGTCTTAATGTTGTTATTGCCTTACTTGTAGTGAAAAAAAAAGAAACCACATGAAGTAGCAAAAGTGACAATTAAAAGTTCATTAACCTGGTTCCAATTCACTGAAGACGGCTCCTTGCAGAAGTCGGTTCTAAGACATGACGCGGCCAAGAAAACGGAGCTGTCGGCAAGTGTAACTTCTAAAGATCCGTGAACGTGAAACGACGAAAAATATAAGATGCCATTCTTTGTCGCAGGAATGGGTTTATTTGAAGACAGAATGAATGGAATCTTTCAAGATTTCGCAAATTTATGATTAACATGGCAAACATTTTCGGGCTGAAGTGAGAACATATGGGTTCATGCCTTTTCCGAGGGTACTTGCGCACAAGTGAATGTAAGGAACTCAATGCAAACGGCATTACCTGGTATTCTCAAGTGGCCGCCCATCTAAATACTGACCCAGAACACAGTTGCTTAACTTCGGTTATCGGATGAGAACCAATGTTACAATGTTAAAAGAACAAATTGATATTCCAGATTTAATACATGAAGTGATTCTGTACATTATCTTTATGAAATGCCAGATATTTTTCGCGCACATTCCAGGTTTATATGTTTTACCAATATAAACAGTTCCTACCAAATTAATTCATATTTTATGAGACGGGAATGTGTTTCTATTCCATCTCCAAAACGGCCTTACGTCACGAATAATTCACACACACACACACACACACACACACGCACACGCGCGCGCACCTACATATATATATCTGTATATATTATAGTAATATAAATAGTTGTTGAGTTACAGTTTTACTTGGTTGTTTGTCTTTTTTTAGTCACGTGGTCATGATCGTTTTTATATTCTGTTCCACCTTTACCTCGTTGGCCACTTGACCAAACCTAGGTAGGTTTACCTGGCTCTTTTAGGTTCATATATATATATATATATATATATATATATATATATATATATATATATATATATACAACGTCCTGGGTATGACAATAACTTACATCCGCGTCCTCGGTAAGACGTTAAACTACGTCCAGCAGCAAGGCCTTTGTTCAGGAGGTTTTTGAGAAGCGTGGAACCAACTCTTGGTTGCTGATGTTCCCAGGTCCACCCTGACCCAGAGTGGTAGCACCTGTTAGGATCCCAGCTATGGGCAAATATTTAACCTCGGACCTGGGGTAAAAACATTATGGAAGTGTAAAAATAGGTTTTAAAACCAGAAATGCTTTGTAAAAAAAAAAAAAAAATTATTACAGGCGATGAGTTTCGCCATAATATATTTTTACTTTTGTCACACAGTCATCAACTCATTCGTACTTATATTTGGTAATATTGTCGTCACGCTATCGAAGATTGAACTTGATCGCCCTAATTTTTTTACTGCTTCTACAGTGTAAACATGGTCGCTCCGCTAGCAGTGTGCACCAAGGAGGAACAAGCATCAGTGATCCTATTTTCCTGGTCGGAACATGTGTTAGTGGCTGAAATTCATCGGAGGCTTTCGCCTTGTTGTCCTCTCGTTTTCCAATTACTTGCATTTGCGCGACTACAACGATTCACTACATAACTCTTTTGCAAGGGAAGTTTGATCACTATCATGCTAGAAACGGTAACCGGTCAGAATCCATCATCGTCCGTGCATTGAATACTGTTGCCATATCTGGTCTGGTCACCCTTAGGATCATCTCGAGATTCTTGACAAAATCCAAAGAAGGATCCCTAATGTAATCGATCCTGACTTGGCTATTCTAATTCAGTCAGTCTCCCACGGCCGTTATTTCGCTTCCCTCTGGCTTTTCTACAAATATTTTCGAGGCAACTGTTCTGAGGGGTCATTTTCTTACCCTGGTTCCCCGTATACATGAATTTAAGCGCTCTACTAGATTCGTTAAATGACACTACTACTTCTGCTTCAACAGTTTCTTTTCTCGTACTTCCCGCCTGTGAAACTCTCTACCGTTTATTTGTTTCCCTGATTACTACAATCGACAAAAATTTTAATGCAGTCCTCTCTATTTTTAGTCTTCTCTTCCACTTTCACTCCCTGTAATCCCCTGCGCACTAGTGTCATTTCCGGCTTGCTTGGCGGTGAAATGATTTAAAAAAGAAGAAATACGACAACAGTGTGCTCGCACGTAGAAGTGTTTATGAGTGGATCAAGAAAGTTTAAAAGTGGACGGAGAAGCCTGACGCACGAAGAAGGAGCAAGACCACCGTCAACCTCCACTACAGTAACACCGAGAGATGGCAATGACGATCCGGTGATTTAACATCGATAAGCTGGCATGTTCTCTGCAGATTCGGGTCATTTCTTATAAATGTTGTCATAGCCTCGTATATATATATATATATATATATATATATATAACTAGCGCAGTGTGCCCTAAGGATCCGCGTACGTAAAACCTAGGTAGGTTTACCTGGCTCTTAAGGTTCATAGTTAGATTTGCTCTACTTAGTGTTCTTAGTTCTTTCTTTTTTGTCACTTATATTTCCTTGGGTATTGATTTGTTCATTCACACGCCAAAACACCTTAGGTTTTTTCAAACAGGTATAACTATATATATATATATATATATATATATATATATATATATATAAAATATAAATATGAAGAAATATATAGTTATAAGGTCTGCTATATTTACGGGAGATAGTGCACAATATCAGATATAGATAGTATGTAAATATAAATATAAAAGTGAACATTGAAATATAACACTCAGAGGCGACAGATTGTTTCATGCTAGACGCAATCGTCAGGCCGCAAATGTTAGATTTTTACTTTTTTTTATTTATATATATATATGAGTCAGTGGTACATTGTGGGTAATCTATTCTGGTGATTAGTTTTTCGGGAGTGACCCATATATATAAATAATCGAGGAAAAAAAATATCTAGAATTTATGTATACGCGCGATATATATATATATATATATATATATATATATATATATATAAACATATACATATATATATATATATATATATAAACATATATATATATATATATATATATATATATATATATATATATATATATATATATAAGGTTTTCTATCAATATCTGTGAAATCCCTTAATATTCTTTTTTTTATTCATTTTATTTCTAATTTTATTTTCATTCCTTTTCAGAACCCCATGAATAATGAATACACAAGAAGGTATCTTTGTTGACATCCCTAGTTTATTTGCATGGAGTTTCATAAAAAAAAAGGTTTATCACCAAAAGATCAATAGATTAGCTGAGCTTAAAGAAGGCATTCAGTTTGCAGTGCAGGAGATAACACCTGAAATTCTCCAAATTGCTTTTCGCAACGCTAATTATAGATTTGAAATTTGCATAGAATACCGAGGCAGCACACCTTGAAAATTTTCAATAAAATTTTCACGTAAGATTTTTAAATCTGTTTGCTTTGTATCATAATTAAGTAATAAATATAGACTTCTGTTAATTTTGAAAAACTTGTCCGATTTCATTGATTTAGATTTTTTAATTCGAAAACACACACACATACATACACACACACACACACATATATATATATATATATATATATATATATATATATATATTATAATTTTATCATATAGACTAAACCATTTTACTCACTACAAAGATGCAACTTGGATTCATTGGTTTCAGTGTATTTTAACTGCACTTCGACGGGTGTGAATCGAAAATGATTATGAAAAATCCTGCTTGTAGGAAAGCCGTATGTGAAACGTCACTTACTTTTTTCCATTTGTTTGAGAAGAAAAATATACATTAAAAAAATAGGTGACGGAGTGGAACGATAGTGCTTGTTGATAGCAGTTTGTTGAACAATGGATTGGGTGTTTAATGTCGACTGGTCTGTGGAAATGTTTCTCCCGAGAAGCACCGGTCAAGAGTTTAGGCACATCATCTCACAAGCGTCTTAAGAGTGAGTGGTAGGGGAGGAAAGATGGAGATACGGGATAGTATTACGTTTGAGTATGTAAAAACTGTAGCGTTAGTTTTAGTAGTAATTGGGAATGTTATTTTTGGTTTACTATAAAAATTCTAGAGCTGAATTGCATGTATTTATGTTGGGGTTATCACTACTAATTCTGTAATCAATGAACGTGTTTTGTGTATTAAAATTTAGAAGTGCTGATTTCCTCTAAAAAAAATATAAGCGATGTTAATATAAACTTTTATAATCAAATTCTGAAATATTCCTGGACGTATAGTGTATAGAATAAGTATGGCTGTAAAACGATTAATCTGAAAATATTACCAGTAATATATATTAAAAAAAAATTAAGAATCATAATCTAATTAGTGGAGAGGTATATACAAGAGTAGGGAATATCGAAGGATGTGGTGTATAATTTTAAAACGTTTATATTTAAGGAATTAAGAATTTAAGAAGATTGTAGTGTTAGATCCTTAGTATGTTTACAGAAAACGGTGGTTTCGTATCTTTGATTTAATAATTGGGTGTTATTCAAGAGATCTTATGATACATATTTTTTTCTGTAAACATAAGAAGCAAGGTTCGCTCAGAGAATTTCATGTTCTGGCTTGTCTTAGGCTTTTCCATTTAACCTTAGGTGTTTCTCCTTCTTCCTTGAGTTTCCAAAAATATTTCGAAATCGATGTCATATTTCCTTTGGCCGTATTTGTAAAGGAGTTCAAGTGATTGTAATACCTATCCTTAAAAGATCTGCTAGTTGACCCCACATACAGCCTAATATCTCTGGGGTTCTCATTTGATGCGATATAGCACATATACACTATGGATTTGGTTAAGCACCTGTTTAATAATGGACATTGATCGGGGATTCTACAATGACATAGCCTTTTTTCTTGTGGTATATTACAACTTGTATATAGGTTGTGTTTATTATCTCTATAAAGTTTCAGTATTCTATTGTTATGCCATTAAATAATTTTATCTAGATTTCTAGAACAGCTATAACTAATTTTTAAGGTATTGCGGTTGAAAATCTGGCTTAATTTACTCTCCGTGGGGAAGTGCTTGTTAATTAGATTTAAGAATGTGTGTCCTAATTTGGTACGGACTAATTTGTTGAAGGGAGCTGCATACCAAATTATTCTCCTTCCTCTCTTGTTTTTTTTTTTTTTTTTAGAATAACTACAATTTGATCTATATTTAATTTCGGAAGATCTGTAACCACTGTCGGTAAGGATTTTGTTATAGATAATTTTGTGTTTATCGAATATTTACTTGCTAGATGAGTGCTTGTTTATACGGCGTTCAATGGATGATGGGATATGTTTAATAACTGGCGTTGTGTGATTGGAATTAGGATTTATATAAATGGGGTTAGCATTATTTTTCAAGAAGGGTTGGAAAATGTTTAAGGTTACATCTAAGAAGTCTATTTGTTTTACGTTAGAATTATTTTAACCTTGAGGTGTAAAGATTTAAACACTCTATGAATCCATTTCCTCAACTGATCAACCTTGCTTCCGATAGAATTATTCACTACCATCAAAGCA